CTCACTGTTTTACTTTTTGCATTAGTCAAACCTAAAATCTCAATTTGAGTACAGTGTTGTGACCTGTTATTGACCGGCGCTGCCTCTTGAAGCTTGTGAGGCCACGGTGGCCATGTCCACAGCCACGTCAGGAGGATCATGACAGGTGTGCACCCTCTGGAAAAGGGACATCAGTTAAAGGTGTGTGATGTGTGGCGATTGTGTGATTTAGTGTCGGGATGTGGGTTTTCAGTGTGTTCTGTGTGTGAGGTTGAAGTGTGCGGTCAGCGGTGACCTTCTCCGCACGTTCAGTGTTCTGTATGCATCTTCTCTGCTGCTGTTTAATGAACAGCACTTCTCTCAGGAGATTCACGGCCTCCCTGTGTCTTACTCTGTGCTGATGCTACGGTATGTTTTAATAGCTAAAAGCGTCACTATTTCTGATCAAGTAATATTGATCATTTAGCCAATCACTGAAAGGTTAACCCTCAGTGTGAATGTTGTCACCCCCCCCCCAGCACAGACCCCCATTCAGCAGCAGGGAAAACAAGAACTCGCCCTGTTAGCCAACAACACCAGACCAGGCGGCTCTTAATCTCTCTGTGTATCTCTACCTCTTCTCTGTCTCTCTCTCTCTCTCTGTATCTCTCTCTCACTCTTACTCTGTATCTTTCTTTCCTCATACTCCTTCTCTCTCTCTCCCCCTCTTCTCCCTCTCCTTCTCTCTCTCCTCTCTCTCTCTTTCCTTCTTGCTCATATCTCTCTGTATTTTGAGTGGGTTGTTATTCCATTTCTGTCCAGTAGATGGAGGTGTTTCTGTATTTGCCTTGAGGATCTGAGCTGTTGTTCGCTCAGTGATAAATGCTGGTGATTTGTGGCACACATTAAACTCAGACTAGCTCAGCAATGTTTTTCAGCTGTTTGACGCCGTCAGTGGTTAAAAGTATGTTGGATGCCTGACCATCACAACCATATGGGCTTATTGGACGTCCCATTCTAAATCCATGGGCATTAATATGGAGTTGGTCCCCCTTTGCAGCTCTAACAGCTTCCACTCTTCTGGGAAGCTTCTACAAGATGTTGGAGAGAGTCTGTGGGAATTTCTGTCCATTCAGTCAGAAGAACATTTGTGAGGTCAGACACTGATGTTGGACGAGAGGCTCTGGCCTCATATGCTTTAAATATGCAAGCACCTCATTAAGTCCACTTCCTTGTTTCTACACTCACTGTCCACTCTATTAGACACTCCTACCTTGTCGGTCCACCTTGTAGATGTAAAGTCAGAGACGATAGCTCATCTGCTGCTGCACAGTTTGTGTTGGTCATCCTCTAGTACCTGCTCTGTGGGTGTCCATGGGGGTCCTGACCACTGAAGAACAGGGTAACAAAGTATGCAGAGAAACAGATGGACTACAGTCTGTAACTGTAGAACTACAGAGTGAGACTATATGGTCAGTGGAGCTGATAAAGTGGACAGTGAGTGTAGATTTTCATGTGTAATTTGACTGGTTATGAGTTTTGCTGATATTGGAGATATGTACGAGTGCCATGGCTGTAATTTTCCCTCTGCTGTTGTGTATGTGTGTGAGTGTGTGTGTGTGCGTGTGTGTGTGTGTGTGTGCATGTGTGTATGTGTGTGTGTGTGTGTGTGTGTGTGTGTGTTTATATTTAGGTGTGTGTGTGAGTGTGTGTGTGTGTGTGTGTGTGAGTGTGTGAGTGTGAGTGTGTGTGTGTGTGTGTGTGTGTGTGTGAGTGTGTGTTTATCTTTAGGTGTGTGTGTCTTCCACTATGTGCAGGGCTGTGATTGGCCTCTCCCACATATAAATAGCGGCAATACCTGAGGCTCTCTGCCCTCTGAGGTGACCTGGGAGAACACCTGTCCAGACCAGCCCGGCCCTCTTCGCTCCACTCTGTCTGCTCTGTTAAACTCCTGAAAGACTTTGTGGAACTGTGAATTCTGGGAAAAGCAGTAGACGGGTGCCAATAGTTTGGCTTGCTTTTTATCTTGGTTTTGAGTAGGGAGTTTAAGTAGCTTTTTAGCTTTTTGTATTTTGTTTCATTTTCATACATAGTTATCTTTATATGTTATATGGATATTTTATATAAAGTACAAGGTAGGTGTTTCTAATAAAGTGGCCAATGAGTGGAAGTACAAGGTGGGTGTTTCTAATAAAGTGGCCAGTTAGTGGAAACACAAGGTAGGTGTTTCTAATAAAGTGTCCAGAGAGTGGAAGCAAGTAAATAAAATGTAGCCTATTTTTAGATTACTGTTTTTATAATTTTGACCATTTAAGTGCAAATCCGACCCTTTTCAGGCTGTTAAAATATTACGCTCAAATTTACATGCAGAGTGAAATCAGATTTGACCGTACGCCGCAGATCTGACACCGGAACCATCTCATCGTTGCTAATCATACAAATCTGTTTAAAAAGATTAAAACATACTATTAATTCTTGTTCTATGTGCATTAAAATGACATCATGAACATCTATGGTATCCCAGATTGTTGTGAGGGAGTTGCTAGGTGGTTGCTATGGTATCCTGAGTGGTTGCTAAGGTGTTGCTAGGTGGTTGCTGTGGTATCCCAAGTGGTTGTTAAGGTGTTGCTAGATGGTTGCTATGGTATCCCATGTGGTTGTTAAGGTGTTGCTAGGTGGTCGCTATGGTATCCCAAGTGGTTGTTAAAGAGTTGCTAGGTGGTTGCTGTGGTATCCCAGGTGGTTGCTAAGGTGTTGCAAGGTGGTTGCTATGGTATCCCATGTGGTTGCTAGGGATTGAAACAGTGTTCCTATCTAGAACACTGCAGGATGAGTTAGCAGACCAAAAAACAGCAGAAAAACAAGAAGAAACAGAATAACAGAAGAAGAAGAGCTCAGAAACGTAGCAGTTCTGACTTGGTGATGTGTACGGCCTTATGCTGTGTTAAAGCTCGAGTGGGAACTGGGACGTTTCCAACCTCCATGTTGTGAAAAATACATTGATACTTGATTCCACTATGATGTGTTTCTCTGGTAATAATGAAAATAAAAGTCATAAATGGTTCATTAGCATAAATCCAGACAATAGTTCTGTATTCAGATATAATACATATTCATCTAATCCAATTAGGAACGTCTGTGTCAGCCATCGGCAGTAAAAGCCTGTAATAAGTTTGCCGTAGTTCAGTGACTGACCTGTAGAGCGGATATGAGATGTTTGAACAGAAACGAAAGAGACGATTAACTGCGGAGCCTCTTTGTGCTGAGTGACCACAAACTAATTAGATTAATCTTTATTAGAAACACCTAACTTGTGTTTCCACTAACTGGCCACTTTATTAGAAACACCTACCTTCTGCCTCCACTAACTGGCCACTTTATTAGAAACACCCACCTTGTGCTTCCACTAACTGGGCACTTTATTAGAAACAACTATCTTGTGCTTCCACTAAATGGCCACTTTATTGGAAACACCTACCTTGTGCTTCCACTAAATGGCCACTTTATTGGAAACACCTACCTTGTGCTTCCACTAACTGGCCACTTTACTAGAAACACCTACCTTGTGCTTCCACCAACTGGCCACTTTATTAGAAACACCTACCTTGTGCTTCCACTAACTGGCCACTTTATTAGAAACACCTCCCCTAAATTATCCAGACAGATGATTTGTGGCCATAAACTGAGCGTCAGCAGATGAGCTACAGTCTCTAACTGTACATCAGCGAGGTGGAGCTAGGAGAGAGGTGTTTCTGATAAAGTGGCCAGGGAGTGAAGTGAAGCTGTGTTTGGTTTGTTGTTGGTGTAAATCGTGCTGCAGAGTGAGACGGGTGAACACAAAGAGCGTGTTCTGTTTAGACTGAAGCTGTTGTGGTGAGAGAACGGTGGTTTTGTGTTTTGGAAAGCAGAACTTCTGACACTATTAAACATGCAAGTCTTACCACAGCCTTCAAGCAGTTTAACATCACACTGTAACACACTGCTTAAAGGGGAACTCCACTGATTTTTCAACATTCTCCGCATAATTAAATGGTTATGATGTAATCAGAGTCGTTCAGAGTGGTTTGGTGTGAAACACTCTGTTCTAGATAAACTTACAGAGTCAGAATTGTTCACAGTGGTGGTGATAGGAACCAGATGTCCACCTCTAAAAGCTCCCTCACAGAAAGTTCCTACATGAAATGGTTATGAATTCACTGCCTGATGACTGAGACACTGTTTTAGGATAGTTTTGAGAAGATTTTGGGTTTAAAATCCATGGATGGTGGATGGATACATAATATGCAGGGCGTTGTGAGACAAAATAGTCCCCAAAGAAAACATATTATTTCAGATTTACATTATTTTACCATCATCAACATTCCACATATCCCAGTTGGTGTTCCAGTTGGCTGCTATGGTGTTTATTAGGTATGCCAGGTGGTTGCTGGGGTGTTGCTAGGTGGTTGCTATGGTATCCCATGTGGTTGTTAAGGTGTTGGAATGGTGTTGATATCTCGAATACTGCAGGAGGAGTTAGTGTACAAAAATCCAGCATAAAAATAAGACAAAGAAGAAAAATAATAAGAAAAAGAATATGAATCAGATAACAATAGTGTTGCGCATTGCTTTTAAATTAATTAATTTTCTAATAAAAGCTGTTAGCAGCCAACAAACCACAACAAATACATTTTTGTTAGCGTATTGACCACTAATTGTATTTTTCACTACCTAAATAATGCAGTAGCACACTGGTCAATGTGTCCTTGTGTAATCTTGTGATTCATAAAGGGCTCTAAGTGTGCCTCCCTAACTTTAATAGTCATAAAACAATATAAAAGTGCTGAATCAGTTAAACATAGTTTAAAAATCACTCTCACACAAAGTTTAAACGGGCAGAATGACTGTGTGGAAAGCAAGTCAGTGAGAAAAGCCTGTATTTGTTTTGTAAGGCTTCTTTGGACAACTGGAGGCCTCAGAGAGGGACTGGGCGAGTCTGATTGGTGGAGTGTTGCTGATTGACAGGCGCTGCTGAGAGAAGCCCCGCCCCTCCGGAGTGACTCCTGCGGGTGATCTTACCCTGTGCAGTGTTGAGTTTTGTGTTCGGACCTACTGCGGAGCGGAGACGAGACGGGGTGTTGTAAAGTGTGTGTTATTCGGAATGAGGGGGGTCTGTGTGCAGCAACAGGTCAGTCCGGCTTATTTATCATGTGTCCGTTCGCAGATCATGTCCTTTATTACGAGGCTGAAGTTTTATTTCCTTTTCGCCACCTGCTTTTTTCGAATTCTCCGTTCCACCTTAAATTGTGCGGCACGAGTTCTGGCGCATAAAGACGCTCGAATGTAACTGCTGCACCATTTAAGGTGGAACGGAAAGTTCGAATATGAAGCTGGTGAATTTTCCAGCTTATGTGGAGGAAGTGTGTGTGTGTGTGTGTGTGTGTGTGTGTGTGTGTGTGTGTGAGTGTGTGTCTGTGTCTCCTTCAGCCCGTCTCTCCCCAGTGTGAAAAATTTGTTGTGGAATGTGTAACCAGCTGGAAAGATTAAAGGGGAATTCCACCTGTTTTTCAAAATTCTTTGACTAATTAAACAGTTAAGATGTAAACAGAGTCGTTCAGAGCGGTTTGGTGTGAAACGTTACGTTCTAGATAAACTTACCGAGTCAGAACTGTTCACAGTGGTGGTGATAGGAACCAGACGTCCACCTCTAAAAGCTCCCTCACAGAAAGTTACTACATGACATGGTTATGAATTCACTGCCTGATGACTGAGACACTGTTTTATGATAGTTTTGAGAAGACTTTGGCCTAAAATAAACATATTTAAATTTGTTTATGGTGGAGGGATACATGCAGGGCGCTGTGAGGCAAAATAGTCCCCAAAGAAAACTTATTATTTCAGATTTTCCACTATTTTCCATCATCAACATTCCATATAAACTCAGAAGACTCGTGTAGGTTCACTGGTGGTTCTGGATAGTAAATAAAATGTCTATATTTGTGTTGTAGTCATGGCGACCCCTGGTTCCTATCACCACCACTGTAAAGACATCTGAACCACTCTGAATCTCTCTGATTACATCTCACACACTGAGTTATGGAGTAATTTTGAAAAATTAGTGGAATTCCCCTGTAAAGTCACTCAGCTTCCTCCAGCAGTTGTTGAGTTTAGAGTGATAGTTTGGTGAAAAATCAAATTTGCCCAGTTTTTCCCACCATAACTAATATCATGAGTGGGCCTTTGACAATATACTGTTGTAAGAATGATGAATTTGGTCTGTATCGTAATATATCGTAGTCTCGAAGGGCCAGACGTAATGTGAAGAGAAACGCGGGCAGATAAAACGACCCACACATTGTTAAAAAGGCCAGTAGAATCTACAGTGCGCTCTTTCTTTAGTTGTGGATCTGTTTAAGAGGTTGTGATCTGAATGCAGGGTGTGAAACGCACCTGCTTTCAATGAGCCGAACAGCTTTTAGCTGCAGGACAGCTTTTAACTACAAACACATTAAAGGACCTCTATCCTACATTTTTACTGTGTTTTATTTTCCCCTCACTGAGGTCCATTTATAATATTAATGTGGCTTTCTGTACAAAAACAGCCTTAATTAATTTGTTTATGATCATTTTCCAACCTCTCTTTATCCCTTAGAATTTAAGACTGCAAATTTAAGACTGATATATGTAAATGAGCTCCTTTCTGATTGGCTGTGCCTCATTTAAAAAGCAGTCTGGGCTAAAACACTCTTTATAACTTCAGTGTAAGTGTGCGGAGCTAAACTGCTGTAGACTGATATGGCCATCGGATGTGGTGGGTTTTAGTGACATTATAAAGACAATGGATTCAAAACGGGCTGTTTTTTGCAGTGTGGTTTCCATATATAGGCTCTATGGGCTGTTTGCATATGACATCAAACTGTTTTCTTTCAGAAAAAGGGAGAAAAATGACGTTTTCCATGATATGGGCCCTTTAAAAGAGCGAAAACTAAAAGAATCTGGAGGGTTTTAGGGGGGATGTTCCTTTATTAGTGGTGGATTTTGCCACAAACCAGCACCAAAAGTTTAACAAGTTGTCCCTATATGTGTATTCTGATTAAAAGATTGTGTCAGTAATTAAAGTACACTGACCAACTGCATGTTTCATTACAGGGAGAGAATAATTAGTCGTTTAATTAATAATTATTAATAATTAATAATAATTAGTCATTAATCGAATTTAGTGCAGTACAAAATGTGGAAACCATTGTATTAATAATAGTCGATCATTGTCCATTTTATCAGCTCCACTTACTATATAGGTGCACTTTGTAGTTCTACAGTTACAGACTGTAGTCCATCTGTTTCTCTGATACTTTGTTAGCCCCCTTTTACCCTGTTCTTCAGTGGTCAGGACCCCCATGGACCCCCACAGAGCAGGTACTATTTGGGTGGTGGATCATTCTCAGCACTGCAGTAACACTGATGTGGTGGTGGTGTGTTAGTGTGTGTTGTGCTGGTCTGAGTGGATCAGACACAGCAGTGCTGCTGGAGTTTTTAAACACTGTGTCCACTCACTGTCCACTCTATTAGACACTCCTACCTTGTCAGTCCACCTTGTAGATGTAAAGTCAGAGACGATAGCTCATCTGCTGCTGCACAGTTTGTGTTGGTCATCCTCTAGTCCTTCATCAGTGGTCACAGGACGCTGCCCACAGGACGCTGTTGGCTGGATATTTTTGGTTGGTGCACTATTCTCAGTCCAGCAGTGACACTGAGGTGTTTAAAAACTCCAGCAGCACTGCTGTGTCTGATCCACTCAGACCAGCACAACACACACTAACACACCACCACCACATCAGTGTTACTGCAGTGCTGAGAATGATCCACCACCCAAATAGTACCTGCTCTGTGGGGGTCCATGGGGGTCCTGACCACTGAAGAACAGGGTAAAAGGGGGCTAACAAAGTATCAGAGAAACAGATGGACTACAGTCTGTAACTGTAGAACTACAAAGGGCACCTATATAGTAAGTGGAGCTGATAAAATGGACAATGAGAGTAGAAACAAGGAGGTGGTCATGGTTATGTGTGTGTGTGTGTGTGTGTATATATATATATATATATATATATATATATATATATATAACATGTTATAGTTCATAATTCAAGCTAAAAACATTAACAACCTCCTGGACGACTGACTTTGGTCTGTGCTTTAGTCCATTTCTATAGATTACAGTATGTTGGTGATGTAAACACACCTGCTGATTATGTCACTGTGGCTACATCATTAGCCTCATAGCTAAAGACGCTGACTTCATGTCTTGGCCAACTACGTTTTAACCCTAATGAGGAGGATTTAGACCTTTTGGTTGAACTTTCGCTTTAAAATCACAGTCAGTGCAGAAGCAGGAGGGTTAACTCTCGTCATCAGCTGCTGTTTTACGGCCCATCAGTCACTCTGCTTTCCTTGAGTCGTCTACAGTCACCTTATCTCCTGATCTTCCAGCTCATCAATCATTTATGAGGGCAGAGGAGCTGTTAGGACATGCAGACACTCAGTGACGACAAAAGCTACAGTAACTAAAGTACACATGACCAGCGCTGGTCAGAGTACTGCGCGCTGCCCTGCAGGTGTTCTGAAAAACACAGTGAACACACCAGATCTTACACTCTCTCTGTGTTTATCTTCAGGAGGTGCAACTGTCATTGATAAGATGACCTGTTTCGGATAGGGATTAGCAAACGGGTTCTAGATAGTCCTCTATTTGACAAACAATAGACAAACCCTTTTTTTTAAAGGTTCTTCAAAGATGCTCTCCATCATGGAGGAGAGTAATTTAACCAGGCAAAGAACCAATTAAGCATTCAGATGGTTCTTTGTGTTGTCCTGGTTCTATATATGTGTTTTAGTAAAGAAGACTGGACTTGTGGACTGTATGGGAAAATTTCTGTATTAAAAAATGCTGTTAAGTCCTGGACTAAAGCTTAATCCCTTGTCCAGATTTTTCAGTCTTAAGCACTTTGTCTTGATTTTACCTTTTGCTTTTATTTATATAAAGCACATTAAATCGCCTTTGTGTATGAAATATGCTGTAATAATAAACGTACCATGCCTTATCTGTCCGGGAAACTGAACCTAGTTTATACTGTCACATTTTTAGTCAGTTAATTTATGCTTGTATCGTTTAGAGCACGTTTTTCCTCTAAATAATGCCTTATAAGTTTGAATATCAAATTTGACTGAAATGCCCATCTGTACCTCAAACTGTGTGGAGGTGTTCAGTGTCTCTAATAGACTTGATTATGTGGTTTCTGACCACATAATGAACTCCATTAAAGATTGAACCCAGATAGCGAGCCTATATCGGTCTGCTATCTTAATAAGGTCGGCGCCGGCACCCTCAGACCACCCAGATTACTGTCCTGCATACAAGCTCTAGTCTTCAGTCTCCTCAAACAGATTTTAAATGCACAGTGACTTTTATTTTGGAAAATAAACTAAGTCAAATATTACAAACAACTGAGAGAAAAAAAATAATGACTGGGTCTAAAATGATTTTATAGAAAATGTAGTTTAATATTAACAAAGTGTAACTAAAGAAATGAAGGAAGGAAAAATCAGTAAATTGGAGTGTAAATGGAAAATGAGTGATGATCAGAGGAATTTTGTCGATGACTCTGCGTAACCACCAGTGGGCCGCCCGGAAAACGCTGAGCAAAACACCAGTGGACCACCAACTTTGCCATCAGTGGGCCGGCAGTTGTCCACCATCCTCTTGCTATCAGGGAAAATGCACCGTTTACGTCTCGGTACATACAGCGCATACAGTCCATACACGGAAACTACACTGCAAAAACAGCTCGTTTTGATTTCTTTGGGTTGGTGATGTCACTAAAACCACTACGTTTACATACTGTATCTCCACCCATTCAGCCTACGGCTGTTTAGCCCCGCCCATTCAGCCTACAGCGCTTTAGCCCCACCCATTCAGCCTACAGCAGTTGCGCCCGCCCATTCAGCCTACAGCACATTAGCCCCGCCCATTCAGCCTACAGCAGTTTAGTCCCGCCTATCAATCCTACAATGGTTTAGCCCCGCCCATTCAGCCTACAGCAGTATGATGAAGAGTAACTGCACTTGGCAAAAGGGGATCTAACAATAGAAGAACCCTTTTTGGTGCTAAATAAAACCGTATTCAAAAAGATT